TTAGTGGGTCCATGAATCATTTTCAGACAAACCTTGGAAATCAGGAAAGTTCTGGAATGAGAAGGAAGCTGTCCGTGCCAAGCCCTGGAGCACCAGCCCCAAGAGTCCACCTGCTCCTGCCTGGCAGCTCCCTCGGGACTGACTCTCACCTCGGTTCTGGTTTCCATATTTGGTGAACACACATTTAACTGCAAAGGAATCCTCAGAGTACCTCGCTGCACAAACATCCTTCACGTGTGCTGGGCATTTTCAAAAGCTTAATAACTCTGCCTCTGATATGCATCATCTTTTTTTTTAACAAAGGCAGTATTGGCCACGTTGCCCACACAAACAGGCTTTGAGGAATTATAGTTCTCTTTGCAGCTAAGTAGGGACAACGATTTCTTCTGAGTTCCCAGAAACAGTTCTGCTCTATATGCTTTTAAGAAAACTAGGACATGGAGTTTAAAAGCATGGTTGAAGAGTGCTTCTAGGATCAAGAAGGGTGAAGTTGAGATGTGAGGAACACCTGCTTAAAGGAATGGCTCAAGTATTCCCATCAAAGCTTCACAGTCATTACAATGGCCATGGTCTCTGGGGTGTCCCACTTAATGTGGCATAGAAGCCTCGGATTCCACCTCCTGTGCTCCGAGTAACTCCGAGAGCCTTGTGTTCCTGACCCATCAGCCTATTTTATGGTACATGGAAGTGCAACTTCGGGTTGTGGATTCCCAGCCCAATGAATTAGTGACCAAGCAGTGGCCTCAGAGAAAGGAGGGTCATTCAGCACGGAAAGGGCTTCACTTAGATCAGTCCACGCCTGTCCTCTTCTTGTTGGATGTCCAGTAGAGGGGAAGTGCTGCTCCACCCTGGGCCACTCTGTGCTGCATAGCCAGGACAATCCCTTGGGCTCCTAGGCGGATGGACGAGCCGCAGATCTCCTTCACAGCACCGCAGCAACCCGGCTCCCTATGTCCGCAGTGCCCAGCTCCCACGGCAATTCTGCCGACCTCGAGAGAAGGCTGGTCCTCTGTGACATCACAGCTGAGCCCTGTCCGTGATGGCAGCGGTGTTCTCAGGATCCGTCTGTCACCGGCTTGAGGGGTCTGCAGGGCAAGACCGCCGGAGTGGGAATGGCATGTGGGAATTTTGTCCCGCGTCCTGTGATTTAGAAAACAGAATCTGAGTTTCGGTTCTCACGATTCTCTAGGTGGTGGTGGTGGGTTTAGCTGACAGATCATTGCTGATGAGTTGTCTTATTTTTAAGGCTGCTTCTATTTGTGACTCAGTATCAGTGCACCTACATGGAATCTGTTTGGCATCTGGTCAATCCGGGAAGCCTCTGGCTTGGACTCTTGCTGTGGCCTGAACTTCTGCTCCCAGCTCCTCCCTACCCTTTCTTCCATGTGTACCCTTTGGTTACAGGATGAGATTTGCCACCCCACCTGTCCCAGTAGCCACTGGGCTCTCAACAAACACAACTGAAGGAAGGACAAATCTCTACGTCCAGATTTGCATGCTCTGAGGGGGCATGGCTCTAGCTGCCACCTGCCTTGTGCTGCTGAGGAGAGCCACAGGCCCGTGGATGGAATTTCCCCGCAGCCCCAGAGCCAGCCCTGCTTCCTGTGCTTGCTCAGGAGACCCTTAGGCAGCAGCCACCTACAGGGACCCCGCTCTGCAGTGGCCTCAGCCTCAATCATCTCAGCCACCTTCCTGTGGCACCATCCGGGCAGGGCCTAGCAGGGCCGTACCTGGTCATGCTCACTGACACAGCTGTCCCATCAGCATGTAGTTTCTCCTTCTCTACTTTGTTGGTGGAAGTAGACTTAGGAGTCTCGCCAAACCTCAGGCTTTACACATCTGGACTCAGCTCTCACCTTCTAGGCCCCTCCAGCTCTGCCTTCTTCAGTTCCCACGTTACTGAGCCAAACCCTGCGGTCCTCTCCTCCCCTGTCAGGGAGCCCCCTGAGATTCCCAAAATGCTGCAATTAGGATGCACCCCTCGCCCAGGCAGCAGGAGGCCTTCACCCGGGATGGACTTGGGGAGTGTTCTCCTGTGAAAACCGATTTCCACGTAGACATGGACGGGAAGGGCCTGTGGACAGGCCTGTGGACAGGCCCCTGGGTGTGCGCAGAGCAAGGGGGGACACAGAGGGAAAGCAGGAAAAGGCTCTCCCTGGTTGGGTTTGCTTTTGTTTATGTTTCAGAAGGAGAGAAAAACAACCCGATGAGTCAAATTGAGAGCTCACGAAAGAAAACAAGAAAAAGAGATGCAGACAGACCGCGCGGCGGAGGGGCACGTGTTCAAGAGGGAAGATGGGGAGAGGCTACCACAGGGGTCTGTCTGAGTCTCACAGGGTCTAGCAGGGCCAGGCTGCGGGAGGAGTGGCCAGTTACTTTTTGCTTTCGTTGGCGGGGGATTGGGGCAGATAAGGGAGATGGCCAGGTCAGGTTCCTGAGCGCCCTGTTCCCTGAGGGTTTTGTGATCCTCCATTTCCTTCACGGATCAGCAAGTGCTGAAAGCAAAGTGCTGCCAAAGGTGAGGAAGACCGAGTCCTGAGCACTGCCCAGGGCCTTCCAGGAGGGCGCTGGGCCACACTAGAGAGCCCTGGCGCAGGGCAGACTCCCTGTGGCCCGGGCTGGTTTAACAGAGAGGGCCCCCACCGTCCCCCACCGTCCCCCACCCCGCATGCGCATGCGCTGACAGCCCCAGGCCGGTTCCCAGGCTGTGCCACTGGCTGCCCCGGGGAGTGCGGGTGCTGGGGAGAGGCCAGGGCTGCGGAGTGGGCGGGCTAGGCTGGAGTCCTGGATTTGCCAAGTACCAGCTGAGCGACTTGAGACAGTCCTTCAATCGCATTGCTGTTCCCCTGGACAACAGAAGGAACAGTTATTGTCTTCCTCCTGGGAAGCAGACAATATTCTTAGCACATAGTGTGACCACAAGTCAGTGAAATTGCTTCCATTCCCACCGTGGGTCCTTCGGCCCTGGTGATGTCACAAGCAATTAGGGGCGCGACTAGCAAAACCCTAAATACAAAGGGCAGCCGTTTTGGTGGGTTGCATCCTCTCGACTCCAGGGCGAGGGAAGGTCCTCGCGGCCACTAGGGGGCACCAGTTACACGGGAAAGGAGGGACTGGGCCATGGCCCTGCACTGAAGACCAGAGGAATTCTTTTTCCTGGACGAAAGTTTGGGAAAGGCTGATGCCCACGGGCACTGTTTCCTGGGGGAGGGGGCTCACACTTCTGTGTCCTCAGGCCCCTCCTGAGGCTCACCAGCTCCGCGCTCTCAAACATTTTCCCTTTAATTCAATCCCATTTACTTTTGATCCTCTTTCTCCTACATTTATACTCCGATTCCCGGGAAGCAGACAATATTCTTAGTGTGGAAAAAGAGAAAGACTGAGTCCCCACGTCTGGATCAGACCTCTCAGTCTGGGCCCTGTTATCTCTCTCTCTCTCTCTCTCTCTCACACACACACACACACACACACACACACACACAGTGGGTCATGCTCCTGAGATATCCAGGCACCTGTAGGGATTTTCCTGTTGGAATCAACCCCAACGGCCTTTGAAGATAACCAGATCCCGAGCAGCACAAAGGCCTTAGGTGTCCCAGGAACGGGGCAGATGAAGGAGAACTGGAGGGCAGGTGGGCTGTGGCCATCTTCCTGCTTTGCCCAGAGACAGTGTGGCCCAGGTAAGAAGGCAGCTCCCCAGAGGGGACCCGTGCATGTGCCTGCCATGGTGTGTCCAGGGGGTCCGTTAGCTTGGTGGCATTGGTGGAACCTCTTACAATGTGCCAGGCTCCCCCTGCATCACCAGGGACGTTGATCCAGACCCCAGGCTCTGGATCCCAGCTCAGAGCTGCTGGATGAGGCTCTGCATGTACAGCCCCGACCGTGGGGCAGACTCCAGGTGCTACTGGGCTCCTTGAAATGTCCAGCAGCAGCGCTCTGGAGACCATTCTAGTCCTGCTGACACGGGAAACAGGCTTACCGTGTCTTTCTTCACAGACGCGCCACCTTGTGCGGTGACCTCTGACAGGTATTATTGCTACGAGAAATCCAGCCCTGCAAAAAAAGCCCCGAGTGACCAGAACTGTTCATCCCGACCCTCTTCAGGTGCCAGAGTCTCCCGCAGCCTTGGACGCACTCTGAAGGAGCGGGTTCCTCTGACCTGTGACCTCAGGTCTGTGTGTGGCAGGTTGTCATGCAGGTGGCAACTCGGGGACAAAGAAGCCACTGTTCCAAGGAGGTGGGGACGTTCCCATGGGGAGTGCAGGGTGGCCTGGTCTGGTGGCAGGGGAGCCCTGGAACCCTTCCATGGGGCAGAGGCACCTGGTACAAAGGACACAGTGGTGTGTGCCGTGACAGAGTTTCCATGTGGCGCTCCCCAGGACAGGCCCTTGGAAGCCCAGGATGAGCTCCGCATACCCCTCAGGCCACCCGGCCTCCTCCTAAGGAAACGGAGATGCAACGGAAGCCTGTTCTCAAACATCCTGTGTTGATTTCCGCTCTTGGAAAACCGCTTTTAGTGGACCTTGGACTCTGCTTATCCCCCTGTGCTCCACAGCCTCAGATTTCCAGGCCAGGAAGCAACCAGGGAGTACTTCACAGGCAAGACCACCTGTCAGCAAAAACAGAAAAGCAAGCCCACCCTCCGAGCTGGCACCTGGCTGCCTCTCTCTGAAGCTGCATCCTTTAGGGAGTTTATTTTACTGTGTCTACCCAGGGCCCTAGTTTATTCTCTTTGGGAAGAAATAATCAATTTGACCAAATTGTGAGTGATCACTAAAGAGTCTGGCTTCTGGAATGTTCTCTGGGGGTGGATCTTCTCACAGAAAATTCCCACGTTCACAAAGAATAAGAACCCATTTTTGTAATATGGATTGGTAAGGGTATGAGGCAGGCTTCATCAGTGTGCAGCCTGTGCAACTGCACAAGGGCTCCATTCTCAGAAGGTCCCAGCTTGGTTTCATGCTTTGTTGTGTCAACATCTTGAAATAATACTATTTGAACAAGGGGCTCTGCATTTTTATTTTGCCCTGGGCTACACAAATTATGTAGCCATCTCTGGTAGGATGACTTCATGATGGGGTGTGAAGAGCTTAGGATTTAAAATCAGGCAGATCTGCATCAAATCCTGACGTCTTACTTGATAGCTGTTACCTTGGGCAAGTGGCCTGAGTTTTCTTAGCCAGAGTAGAACCGCTAAGGCTTCCTTGTGGGCTTGTTGTAAAGACTGCATAGTTTGCCTCACATGTAGTCAGCTTCGGCCCCAGCTTCAACACAATGAACGAAAATAATTTGCCCTGAAGTTAATTTAAGCAAGTTGTACCAGGTTCTTGGAATATACGGCATGTGCAACTCAGTAGGGCAGAACGTGCATTTCCTGAGTTACTCTGACATGCTCTGCTCCAAAGTCCAGTTTATAAAGTGCTGGCCCAAGAGAACCCCTCAGCCAACTCCAAGTTTGAAGGAGGTATTTTATTGATCTTATGTGTTTGCTTTCCTGGGGACTAGTTCGTAGCATGGTGATGACAGACGGTGACGTAGGTAGCACAATGCAGCCGCCACAGTAGCTGTTGACTGCAAATGTGTCACTTCTAGAATTCCTGTCACTTTTGGGGTCTGTGATGGCACCTCCCATGCTGTGCGCCAGGTGATTTGAAAGAGTAAGTGACTCAGCCAAGCTCCCACAACCAAGAGGCAGAGAGCTGGCATTCAGACTCTGCTCCTGCAGGCGTGACCCCCAGAGCTCCGCCCGCCCTGCTGCGCTCCCTCCTCCTCGCCTCTGACCTGTGCCTGTGTCCTTCTTCTCTTTTGCTTCTGTCCTGTCTCCCTCCGGCAGCGCTGGCCAAGGCGAGAACCTGCCCCCCCGCCCCGCCCGATCGCTGACAGCCTGGACCCCTTGCTGTCCTCCCAGACTAGAAGGAAATGGCCCTCAGAGACATTCTCCACTCTTACTTCTTCCACCAGAGGGGCTGTTTCTGACTGTTGAGGTCACTCTCACCAGGGTGTGGCGCCTGAGGAGAAGGCGGAACCTGGCGGGTGGGGCTGCTGGGTTCAGTCCTGCTCTCAGAATCCTTTTCCCCCAGGGACAAAGTCGTATCTGGCTTCCTCAGGGCCGCTCTTCTGACAGGGGGTCCGTAGCAATGGCATCAGAGGCGGAGGGCCTCTCTGAGGACCTCTGAGCCAGCAGTTGGCTCAGGCTGCGTGGTGTCCGGCCATGGGGTCCTCCCCCCAAGGAGCGCTGGCCATCAGCCGGAGACACTGACGCGTGAACAAGTCCTGGAGGTCTTCCTGGGGTCCTGTGAGGCCCTTCCTGGTTCCCGTCCAGGGCTTGTGAGTGGCAGAGTCGAAACACAGAGGACCTCATTGCTCTACATGTCACAGGCAAAACCTGGGGACAATAAACCCAGATGGAAGGGAATCCTAGGGCCTCCTGTCCCGCAGTCACAGCCTCGGGCCAGGCAGGTCCACTTTACCCAGAGGCTTAGGGAGGCCCGTGCTGGGCTTCCAGAGCACGGGTTCAGCCTCCCTTCCCCATCACACTACTCCCTAGATGGATAAAGGTGACGTGTACCCTGTCCTTGGTTGTGACCCTGGGGACAAAGCTGAGCTTCAACATGTTGGGACACCCCCTGGAGTCACCTGGGCCAGGCGCTGGATCAGGGTGGGCTGGTCCTCAGGCCAGGGTGCAGCGCCTGCCAGCGGCCTTCGGTCTTGCTCCCTCCCTGCCATCTGTTTCTCACCTGCCCGACGGGCTGTAGCCTGGTTCCCATCTGGTCATCGCTCCAAACTCAGGGAAGCTGCATGTGGCAAATGGCCATCACAGAAAGAAGGAGTCACAAAGGCTGCAGTGTGGGTCACCCACAGGTTCTGAGAGCCAGAAATGCCGGCCCCCTTAGCTCACCCTCCCGTGCGCCAATGGCCGCCAGCTGTGCGGAGGCCGGCTCTCCGCCCAGGCTCACCCTCCAGGTCCTCGGGCCCAGATCCGACATTGACCTTCGAGACTCCTTGTTCTCCCCAGGAATTGTCAAGGCCTCCTGGTTGGACCTGGGAACTTGGATTTCGTTTTAAACACCCCCAGGCCCACAAGACCTTGCTCACTCTTATCACTAGAGAGCTGTGACTTCCTGCCTGAAAAGAAACCCCACATGGGAAAGCAGTGGGCAGCGTCCCCTCCACTCACCCCCCGGGACAGCCCCACAGCACTAAATGACCCTCCCAGCATCCACAGCGTTGAGGCCGAAGAGTAGGAACTTCATTGTCTGTCATCTGCCTACCTGTCCACATCTGCCTACCTGTCCTCATCTGCCTACCTGTCCTCATCTGCCTACCTGTCCTCATCTGCCTACCTGTCCATCACCTGCCTACCTGTCCACCATCTGCCTACCTGTCCTCATCCGCCTACCTGTCCTCATCCGCCTACCTGTCATCATCTGCCTACCTGTCCTCATCTGCCTACCTGTCCATCACCTGCCTACCTGTCCACCATCTGCCTACCTGTCCTCATCTGCCTACCTGTCCATCACCTGCCTACCTGTCCTCATTTGCCTACCTGTCCATCACCTGCCTACCTGTCCACCATCTGCCTACCTGTCCATCACCTGCCTACCTGTCCACCATCTGCCTACCTGTCCATCGCCTGCCTACCTGTCCTCATCTGCCTACCTGTCCACATCTGCCTACCTGTCCTCATCTGCCTACCTGTCCTCATCTGCCTACCTGTCCATCACCTGCCTACCTGTCCACCATCTGCCTACCTGTCCTCATCTGCCTACCTGTCATCATCTGCCTACCTGTCCTCATCTGCCTACCTGTCATCCATCGCTCTAGCCACCATCTGTCTGTCCGTCACCTCCATCATCTACCTAGCTTTGTCTTCTCTTCATAGACAGCTAGAACATGTAGTGTTTTGAAACAACTTTGGAGTATTTATTATTTTGAAAGCCTTTTAAAAACAATTCCCATCAAAGAGACAGAGCAAGGAGGGGCACAAGCTATCACTCCTGTGATACCACAGTGTGTGTGTGTGTGTGTGAGTGGGGTGTGTATGTGTGTGGGGCTGGCTCCCGGGGCAGGGATCAGTTCCTGTGGACTTTCCCTCTGGCTGTGGAAAGTCCAGGTCTTTCCTTGAGAGCTTGCCCTAGTGGTTTTGTCCCCACACAGCCTTTGAGAAGAGCCCTGGGCCAGGACAGGTCACTGAGCAAGACCTCGGCCAAGGCCATGTCCTTGCAGTCCTTCTGATTCTAATCACATCCAATCTGTCCCGCATGTGGCATGAGGGACACCTTGAGTGTTGTTCCAGGACTCAGCACGTGCTGTGTGAACACGCATTGCTCCTGTTGGATGTGCTGCATTAGCAGGTTGAGCCTGAGCTTCCCTGACACACAGCGCTGCTGTGTCAGCACTCACTGCATGAACAGCACATGGCACATGGCGCTAACAATAACGCTCTGTGGCAGTGCACGTCATCTGTTATATCATTAACAACCTCCTGATTGCGTCAGCACATCACATGTTACTTTAGTAACACGTTACACTGTTAGCACATCTTGCATCAATTTGGTAACACATTACATATCTTGCCACATACACACTGGATATTTCAGTGATGTGCACTTCACATCATGCTATCAACACCCTCCCTGCTGTGTCGTTAGCACATTGTGCATCACAATTATACGAACTTTATATTACATTAATGGCACACCACACAACTGATGCCTCATTGAAAATGCAGGACATGTCGCATTAGCATGCAGCGATAACGCTCTCTGGAGCACAGGATTAGCACGTCATGCATTCCGTCAGCACACATAACATGTTATGTTAATATACACACCTTGATGCCTGGCTCAAGGAAACAGCATCCTTTCTGATCCCCTTCACTCCTGGTTGTCCCCCGCAGCTAGTGTAGACAGATCTGGTTCCACAAAGACATGACAACTCCCGAGAGTCCTTGCCCTGGCCTATAAGGTGTCCTCTGGCTCCTGGGGAGGCTCACCATCTCTCCCCGCCCCAGTGTCTCTCACACCTGGACAGTCCCTTGGCGTTGCACTACCCCATGGGGCCCTGTCACTTGAACTCACTCCCTGGCAGCTGCTCACCTGGGGTGCACACGCCTGGTCAGGGGGCCAGGTGGAGAGGTAGCAAGTCTCAGCAGCACAGAGCCCACAGCCATCCCTGATGCCAAGACCTTGAGGGTGGCAGGCCCTGGCCAGGTGAGGGGGTGGTGCAATCAATGAGCAGTGTCCTGTCCTCAAAGAGCTGGAGTCAAGCAGGGTGGAGAGAGTAGAGGTCATTTAATTGAGGACAATGTGACGTTACAGCTCACGTTATGGGAAAACTCATTTGATGCCACTCCATGGTGCTGGGCTGGGGATGCGTCTCCCCAGGCTCCCTCCTGGCACTCTGTGGCAGCCTCTCTCCCACCCTGGACCTTCCTGGGGCTTTGTGTGCATTGCACGCCCTTCACCCAGGTCTGTGTGACCCCAAGAGCAGAGGAGCTGGAGGGTCTCCCTGCATGGGCCTCACCAGCCAGGGAGAACAGTGAATCTGGGAAGGGTGTTTGCTTTAGGTCTTCCAGATCCATGGCCCAGGGGACAGAAAGGCTCTAAGTGTCCAGTGAAGGTCCCCACTTCCTCTAGACAAAAATGCTGCAGGAAGGGATTTGGGTGGCTCCCATGTGGGAATCCCAGCCATTCCATCTGCGCCCTGAATGGCCCGAGCCTGGTTCAGCTGTAGAATGTGCCCTGATACCAACAGTGTCATGCTATCAATGGACAATGACATTGGCCAGGCTGCCACACAGTGAGCCACCTCTACCACGGTGCTGGCAACACACTTACAAAGTGTGACGCACACCGCACCCCCAGTCTCCCTCCACACACTGCCAAGAACTGTCCTCGCCATCACCCAACAGTGAGGGAAGGAGGCCCCATGAGAAGGGTCACTTGCCCACAGCAGTGAGTGGGCCACAGCCCGGCATCCCCAGGCCTGCCTTTCCTCCACTGCGTGTGGTCCTTTGGCCATCACATCCTGTCTACTCCAGGAGGCAGGCCACCTCTGGGACCCTCTGTACCTACTGTATGTGTGCCTCCTCTGGCTGCTTCCACAGCCTGGCACTGAGCAGGGAGAGGAGGCAAGTCACTGGGTGGAAATGGACAAGTGACATCTCCTCTGACAAACTCCCGTCTCCTCCAGCCAGCAGGTCCTCTGAGACCAGAGGACGGAGAAGACGGGCGGCACTGCGCATCTCTAAGGAGCAGGTTAGAGGCTGGTGTGGTGTGGTCATGTGGGCGGCCCCTGGCAGCCCTGATTCCAGACCAGAGGGGACAGGAAAGGGGAAGAGATGATATTTTATTTCCCGTGTTGCTCGGGGGCCACTTTGATTCTTACCAAGAAAGGAACAGGCTGGTGGCTGGGGACCTCCAACCTTCATTTCTATGCAACCCAGGGTCACAGACTTGGGAGCGAAAAGGACCGTTGGTGCCACTCCAGGCCAGCTGGTCCTTGTACCTCAAGTCCCCAGGCCTCTGTCTCCAGGGGCTACATGGGATCACGAGATTTCACTGTCTCCATGCTCTTTCTAGAATCTTCTCCAGCTCTGGTCTCCAAAACAAGAGCATTGCTCTATAGCCAAGAGAAGCAGGAATAAAAAGAAACACGGTGACGTAGCTGATGTTCCAGGGGACCAGGAAAAGCCCCCAAAGAAAACCTCCTTTCACCCAACGACGCCACTCACCCAGAGCCCTGGGGATGGGATTTCTGTCATAACTCAGTTTAACCAAAGACCTCTGTTGGGGCCTGTTGGTGACCCCCCTGGGAAGCCAAGCAGAGTGAAGTCCTTGCTGGTTCTCCATCAGGGCCTCGGTCAGAGCTGGGCCAGAACTCGTCATGTGATCATGGCGATGGCGAGAGGAGAGGACCACGGTCTCTGAGGCTGACTTAGAACCAGAGCACAGACATACTGGCACTGTTCTGAGCACCCTGTCAATATTGACTCACTGGATTCTCACACTGTTATCACCTCCACTCCACAGATAAGAAAACTGAGGCAAAAAGTCAAGGAGACACTCAAGGACACACTGATAAATCCTCACACCCGGCTGCCTGGTCCAAAGCCACTAAGCCACGCCCAAGGTCATGGAGCAAGAGGCACCCCAGCTTCCCGTACCTAGACGAAGAACAACCAGAAACACAACAAACCACAGCTTCCTCCAGAGCTCAACTGCCCATCCCTCAGACACAAAGCATTTTGTTTCATTTTTTAAAAAATTTTCCTCTGGAACTTACCTAACAGTAATGTATAAAATGGGGGTGTTTATGAGGGAGGCACATTCGTTTGGAGATCACACCTTCTGCCTTAAGTGCTTCTGCGTAAGCAACCTACAACTGTATTTTCTTCCTCTTTACGGAATCCCTTAGATCAGCTCATTTGACCAATCTTTGCCTTTTTCTCCTGAAAGTTTCAAGCTAGGACACACCATCATGCATCATGGAGAATGCTGTCCTGTGTCCAGCAGGGTGTGGTGATTAGCTGAGCTCAGGGCTTCCTCCCACCTGCCCCAGGAGGTCTGCAGGCCAGGCGAGGTAAGCAGTGGTGCCCCAGGGTCCCTGCTCAGCCTTCACGTGTCCTGAGGCAGGCCGGGTTCCCAGATCTGCTGTCTTGAGTCTTCTGTAGGGCAGATCTCCGGGCGGCAGAGAGCTTGCCCACCTGGGGAGGGGAGTGAGGGGACGCAGCAGGGTCTGCAGCTCTGGGGGCTCACGCTGTCCTTGTCTGTGATCTTGTCCTCATACCTCAGGACTAGCTTTGCCTGCCTGGGAGGAAGTCACACGACTGAGCAGGCCCAAGGGTTTGGTTGATCCAAGGTTTCTCCAACCCCAGCAGTACTAACATTTGAGTCTAGAATCTTCCCTGTCATGGGGCCCACCCTGTGTATATAGGAGGGCAGCTGCCCTAGATGTCAATAGTGATCCTCTTGTTATCACAATGAAAATATCTCTAGGTAATGCCAAATGCCAAAGAACCGCCTGTCGAGAATGGCTGGTTTATTCTGATAACTCTAGAAATAATGAAAATTTTGGAATTAAATCCAACTCCTTCAGACCAGACTCCAATCCTCTGCATTGAATCCAGAATTAACCTAACAACCTCACGTTATTTAAGATGAGCCATGAAATGGCTACGCAGATTGGCTCAAGGTGGGGGTGGGGGACAGTGCCACATGGAAAGGGCCATTCAGTTATGTCCAGGAAGAACACAGGTGTTCTCCTCCTGTTTCAGGATTCTTGGAGGGGGCGTCAGAAGCAGTCTAACATGATACCCCACACTTTGAATGTAGGCCCCAGTGAGCAGCAAGTACGGAAGCAAAACTGAGGAAGATCAACGCCCTAAATCTCTGCCCAGTCAATGTGCGTGGGGCTGGACCACTCCCACTCCATCTGTAGACTATTGTGGCATCAGAGGGTCGATGCAGTGAGGCCCCAGAGGAATGCACATCTGGGAACCACGGCGGGAGGGGGAGGGGGCCACCCTGATCCAGCACTCAGTTTCTCCCTGTTGTGCTCATGCGCTGTCTGATGTCCACTCCACTGGGCGCCTGAGCACCCAACTCGCCCTGTGGGAGAATGCTTTGGCTCTTGCTCAGAGCATCATGCTCACATGCACCAGAGCCACTGGACAAACTTGCCATCACCATCCCCTGTGGTTTCCACATTATTGATGGTCCTAGGACCAGACCCAAAGATGAGTCATAGGAGTTAGTTAGTCGACTTGCACAGGGAACGTCCATCCCCCCTGCTGGGAGACCATATGTTATTTGATGCTGATTTTCAATAAGCAAATCCATTTCAAATCCAGAAAACATTCCAGGGGGAAAGGAGAAACCCTTTCAGACTGCTTGCTTTCAACTGTGTCCCTCCCCAGAGGTATGATCTTCTTGTAGGGTAGGCAGAGTTCCAAGGACCCATGCCCTTGAACAATCCCTGCCCCTTGAGTGTGGGCCAAGGCTGTGGACAGGATAAGATATCACCTCTGTGGTCGTGTCCCACATGACAAAGGGATTTTTGCAGCTGCAAACAGAATCCCTAAACAGTTGCATTTACACAAAGGGAGACTGTCCTGGGTGGGCTTTATTCAATCAGGTGAGTTTTTACAGTTTCAAAGGCTGAGACAGAAGTCAGACAGAGACATGTTCCTGCTGGCTTGGAAGAAGCAAGCTGCCATGTTTGAACAGCCCATGGAAAGTATCCATGTAGCCAGGACTTGAGGGTGGCCTGGGAGCTGGGAGCCACCCCAGCCTGATAGCCAGCAAGGAAATAGGGACCTCAGTCCGACAACCACATGGAGTTGGATTCTGCCAACCCCCCGTGAGTTGGGAAGATGCCATGAGCCTCAGATGAGCTTGTGGACCTGGTTCACTCCTTCGTTCAAACCTCATGAGGCTGAGAGGAGACTCGGCTCCACTGTGCCCAGACCCCAGGTAACTGGGTGCATGGCGATAAAAAACAAATGCACTTCATTTTGTTGCTGGACTGTATCTTCACTTTCTCCCCTTATTTTCTGTGTTCTCAATGCTCTGCACCTGGGCCTTGCTGGCTGTGGGGAGACTGCCCCTCCAGGGTGAGGCAATCCCTAAAGACAGCAAAAGACTGGCCCTGGAGCATGCCTTTCCCATGCATGCCAGCCACTATAGTGCCCACAGGCTGAGCCAGCTTCTCTTTGGGGCCCTTGCCCCAGAGTCCAGGAGAAGTGTTCACACTAGCCAACCCAGGCCTGCCTGGCATTGACACAGCCTCACACATCCTTCAAAGCCCACCTCTACCTTTCCCTAGAGCCCCCTGCCTCCTGACAGACCCTCCCCATGCCACGCTACATCCTCAACCCCCAGGGGTGGTGTCTCCTCCTGGGAACCGCACGCAGCCATCTCTGCATTGAATAGCACTTGTCTCCTGACCTGTCATCCTCCCTGTTGTCCTCACGGTACTTGAGGGATACCAACCCAAAGCTCAAGCCCAACGGGTAGGGCCATATCGGTTCCGTTCTTTTCTCTATGCATTCTCCTCAGATCCTTCCAAACTTCAGACGTGTAAAAAGTGTCCTGACTGTAGATGATTAAATCTTGACCTTGATTGGATTCCGACAGAAATTTTTTAGTACTGAAAAAATCCTTGACAAAGGAGAAGCAGCACATCTTGGCTTTTATCCCTTCTTACAGATTTTAGTATAAGCCAAACAGGAAATAGAAGGATGGGGAAGGTGTTGCCAGACCAAACAGAACAATAGGCAGGCTTCCACGTCAGACGCCGGACGGTTGCAGGCGGCCAGTATCCTCTAATGGAAAAATTCACAGATGTAACAAACATAAGTGAGCTTCACACAATGTGTTTGTCAATACCTTTGTGATGGTCCTATGCTAGAACAGCCATCGGAGGGCTGGTGGGGGCCAGCCTTCATCCAGAGTTGACCACCCCAGAGCTCACCACATGTCTTTTGCTATGTTTATCTCAGAGAAAAGTGAACTTCTTCTCTTACTAATGTTTTAAGCATTTTCCTCTTAGGAAACAAATGTAATTTAAGCAAATGATCTAACACCTACACTATTTTTTGCTTATAATATAAAAGGGTTACTTCTTTGAGAAAGCCAAGCTAGTTATTTGTAAACTGATTCTTTTCACTGGTAAGCTGCTGATTCTTTACAAGTGTTTTTATTGCTACTGTAGCCATGTTGACATTGTTAGCTTTATCTATGTAGCATATTTTCTCTAAGAGGCAGATTTCAGAGGCTAGTCAGGTTTGGATATAATTTGTTGCAAGATTTTTTTTTTTTTAACTTTTATAAATAATAGTGTCAGAGACTCAGGCGTCTGCAAATGAACTGATGACTACTATAAACACAAATGTACACGCCCTTGTGTATGACCACACAAATCCCCATATCTTACTCTTTTCAATATACTCTTGGAGGGTGTGCAGGTATGTGCCCTTGTATGCAGGTATGTGCCTTTGTGCCTATATGTGCGCATGCATGGGTTGTGAGTGATACTCAATTAAAGGTGGTCACATTACATTACAGAAGCAACCCTTTGGAATTAGACATGCCGGTGATGGACATCAGTGCTGCAGCTTACTGACTTCATGACTATAACTTCAGATATTTAAATATATTTGTGCATCCACTTAGCTTTACAAAGAGAGTAATAATTGCTATGGCACAGAGATACTAAAACAAAGGTTAAATGTGGCTCCGTCTGCCTGGAATTTCTTTTGCCCTGATCATGCCACATTGGTTTCTTCCTGTCGTTCAAATGTCATACAAATTTAGAAAGGCTGACCCTGACTAATTAGCCCAAATCATTTCCCCAGTGACTCTTATATCACTTGATTCACAGCACTTGTTCATATCTTATTAGATCACATTCATTTAATTAATTGAATATGTGTTTGACTCCCTCTGCAAGAGAATAAGTGTCATGAGACCAGGACCTTGTCTATCTTATTCACTATTCTAACACCCAGTGCTTGAACACTCCCAGTACAGAGCAGTCACTGGATAAATATCTGTCAGAAGGAAGGGAGGGAGGGAGGGAGGAAGAAGGGGGCAGGCAGGAGGCAGAAGGGAAAGAGGAAGGGAGGTGTTATCAACAGGACGGGCAGGAGAAGGGTGAATTGTCCAGCAAATGACCGTCACATGACTTGGGCCCTGAGACGCTTCATTTTTCTACCTGTGATTTCTGGCAAATTTCTGGTATTTCTGGCAAATTTGAGCCTCCTTTCTCTTATCAGTAGTAAGAGCTTCTACCTGACAGGGTGGTTATGAGGAATAAAGGAAGAACAAGTAAATACGTGCAGAGTATATAGCAGAATACTCTGTGTCCTTGAAATATTGACTGCTGATATTGTGTTGCTTCCTTCAAAGGATATCAATTGACACAAGCTTTTGAGATCTTACTCCAATGCAATCTACAGGTGATTGTCAGGAATTCATTCAAATAATACATTTCCTTTTAGAAAAGTAACCATCATGATATCATTAATAAATGAGAAAACTTTCATCCGTATTTATAGTTTTTAAGTCAATAGGACTAGAGTTAAACTTCAGCACAAGGACTGTGTGACCCCTGAGTTAGAAATTGTAATCCCTTTCACTGTTGGGTGGTGGAATCAAACAAATCTTAAGTAAGCCGCACAGAAAGCTATGCTTAAGTTGCTTTGAGTTCACCTTCGTGTTTCTGCAGGGACAGAGAAGGCACCTTGAATTTTAAGTGAGAACAACAGTGAAATGATTATGTAAAATGCTATCAGAAAATGAAAAGCTGGTACTGATTTTCTTCTCATTGTCTGGAGTGTATACAGGGTTATTTCTCCCTGAAGCATAGTTTATTTTTTTTTTAAATCTCTTATAACAAAATTGCTCAAGGTACTCTAAGGATAATTTTCTGCAAAATAGATTGAATTCTGAACAGCGAGGACAGGGCAGGTGCTTTCAGCCAGCATTGTCTTGTAATTGGCTAAGGCAAAGCCAGGATGCCATCCTCCCACTCTCCTTGCCCTGGTTTCCTGTTCTCGGAGCTTGCTGAGGATTTGCCCACCTGCCCTTTTGGACGGAGAGCTCCATTTATAATCCCAAACCATGGAGATGGAGAGCCTCGGGCGCTGGTGGGCAGCCGCCGTGGCTGCCTTCCCCCTGAGGCTGCCCTGACGAGATCAATGGGGAATACTTTGGTACTGACCTGAATAGCAGCCACTTCATCACATCCACAGCTGGCCGGGCTGGGCGGGCGTCGCCTGTGGCGGTGCCAGGGTCTTCCCTGGCTGCTGTCTCCCTGCTACTTTCTCTGCAGCTAAAGCAGCTGGAATATCTGCATCCACACACAATCCACGGCTTTCACTGTTGCCAGTTCCATAAGGAATCCGACCATGTGAACGTGGATATCTGTGGGGCTTCGGGAGGTTGAGCCGGCCTGGGGTGTGCTGGAGGTGAGGCTGTGGTGTGCGCAGAGCAGCCTGACCCAGCAGGAGGACCTGCGTCCTCAGGGATCAAGGGAGATGCTTTTCCATCCTTCATCTTCTTCATCTTTCTCCTCTCGAAGCTGCCCCCAAACTTCTTCTGTTTTGGTTTTGAGTTTTCTGGAAAGAAGATTATCTGACCATCAACAGCTTTCAATAAA